AAAAGGAAGAAGAAAAAAAAAAAATTGATGATGAGAAGAAGAAAAAGAAGAAGAAAAGAAACGAGGAAGAAAAATAAGAAGGAGAGAAAAAAAAACAAATTGTCGTTGATTACTTATCAGCGCGACGACGATGACAAGGACGACGAGGCGCAGCGACGAGGACGACAGGCATGGTGGTGATAACGTGGCGCGACGGCGGCGATCCCGTCAGTGACGATGATGACGGGGCACAATGACGACGATCGCGATGATGACAATGATGACGTGGCACGGCGGCGACGATCTCGATGATGATGTTGATGATGGCCAGGTGATGACATCGAAGCAGGGTGGGTCGGGCGGGTTCGAACCGCTCCGATACCAGTGTAACGAGCGGGAGGCTGAGGGAGACAGGGAGAGCTGAGGGAGAGGAGAGAGAGAGGGAGAGAGTGAGAGCACACACACACACACACTCACTCGACACGACTGAGGGTCGGACGCAGACACCGGGGCAAGGACACAAAGTCAAAGTCTTGGATTCCGAATGCCCAACAGGAGCAAGTCCCACTGAGTACGAGTACAACAACAGAAAACTGGTACGAGGCTGGTCCCCATACTGTATGGGGAGCCGGTATAAGTACCGGTGACACGTACGGTACCAGGGACATTTTTGCAAAGGCCCCGAGGGCAGAACTGAAAAATGCATTATTTGAAAGTGGCGCCCGAATTGCAGCATGGCGCCAGTTGTCCAAAATCCTACGGTACCAAAGGAGGAGTTTAGAAAAAGGGTGCCAGGCCGAAAACGGGATGCAGTTGAAACAACAAAAAGATAGACCAGGGATCGAGCCCTGGCGGAGTCTGTAACAACAGTGCCCTGCCCAGATTATTCATCATCCATCAAGCCCCAACATGCATGCCCACACTCAAGCCTATCACAACAAATCTTGGTTGATGAACAATGCACCCGAAGAAATGGGGATTGAACTTGCCGCTAGAACATGGCTAGGCGCGTAGATCGGTGGTCACAACCACCACGAACAACAAAGCTAAGATTGGGACGAGAAACAACACCTAAATCCTGACTATGACCATGAGCAACAACCTGATCAGCAACAGCGAGGCGAGAGTGATAACCACACTGGTGTGTACTACCGCCACATAGACGATTCCTTGATGCGACCCTGCTCCGCTACTCACGAAGTGTGCCCAATGAGAATGAATCTTTCGTTATAACATGAAGGGATACATTGCTCGGTAGTCGACCACCAGAAAAATTAAGATGACTATCGGATGATGGATGTGATCATCAGAGGTCCCGGTTATTACATCCCCATCATGCAAAAATACGAATTTTACGAGAAGTAAAAGTCGAGTTGGTTGCATGATGTGGCGTAAAATATTTTTCCATGGGT